ATATTGTTGTATCCCATATCCAACTGACGATCGGACTTAGTCATGGTTTAAAACCATGCCTAGATCTGGGTAGAAATCGTATCGTTACCAACCCCCTTAGACATCTTAACCAAAAATGCTCATTCTGCTACTCAATTCCACTCACTGATAAGATGAAAGGGAATTAATTACGTTAGGACCTTACATGTAAACAAAAAGGGTTAGGACCCCTACAAAAACAGAACTTGTAGTATGAACTTAGCATACGATAAACTACCACGAAAATTTTGTAATTTGAAAACACTGCGCCGCATTATAGTAAGAAAAATTGTTAAAGTTTCAACTGCTTTCATATAAAAATGTTCTAATATTTCAAGTTGTGTTGGGTAAAGTAGCAATCTATCTCTGTAGCCTTAAAGGCACTATTTCATATGTATTTATTGTGCGTTTTTATTTAGTGTAAGAATATTCAATGATTCTCTTTATTCGGAGTTAGTAAGGTCCTGCTCTTAATATTAAGCCGGCAAACTTAAAAAATTCGTCGAATTCATGAAAAGAGGGAGTTCTCAATTCGACTGTATGTTTGACTGGGAAGATGAGATATCCGCGGTTCCGGATTTAGCTGACTGGACAACTGCACGCAAAATCATTAAAATCAACACATTAACTTGGGCCATCAAAAGCTTCCTCCCTTTTAAAGCAGCTGGACTGGATGGCATCTTTCCGGGCCTAGTGCAATGGTGCGAGCAATCGATACTCGAGCATCTACTGCGAATCTACACAGGATGTCTTGCCTATCGGTACATACCCACCAAGTGGAGAGAGGTTAAAGTTATATTCATACCCAAACCAGGCAAAAGTGACTACAGGCAACCCAAAGCATTCAGACCGATAAGTCTCACATCATTCCTCCTAAAGGTGCTGGAGAGAATGTGTGACAGGAACTTGAGAGATGATGCTCTAAAGCGTGTACCACTTCATGCAAATCAACACGCCTACAGCATGGGCAAGTCCACCGAATCCGCATTACACAACGTAGTCAGACAAATAGAACGTAGATTATCACCAAAACAATCAACGCTCGGGGTCTTCATTGACATTGAAGGCGCCTTTGATAAAACAAACTTTACCAGCATCAGCCAAGCACTTGTCAGACATGGAGTTGACCCCACGACTGCGGGGTGGATCAACAACATGCTAAAATACAGAGCAATACAAATGACTGTGAACACTACGAAGAGAGCTGTAGTGGCACGGGGTTGCCCACAGGGAGGCGTTTTATCCCCTCTCCTGTGGAACATTGTGGTTAACGAATTAATTTGCCAACTCAATCAACGCAACTACTACACAGTTGGCTATGCGGAGACAACCTAGTTATCCTCATAAGCGGGCCATTCCAGAATGTGCTGTGCAACTTAATGAGTAACGCTCTCAAGATAGTTGAAACCTGGTGCACAAAACACCAACTATCGGTGAATCCGACCAAAACAGAGATGGTCATGTTTACGAAAAAACGTAACTTGGATACGGTTAAATTGCCCAAGTTATTTAATACCGAACTGTCTATGTCAAGCGAGGTCAAATATCTAGGCATAGTTCTTGATCATAAGCTTACATGGAACAGTCACTTAGACCAAAAGATAAACAAAGCCTGTATCACGTTTTGGCAATGCAAAAGATTACTTGATAAAACCTGGGATCTTGCACCAAAAATCACAAAATGGCTTTACACAACCATAATCAGACCACTCATCACCTACGGTGCAATAGTTTGGTGGCCTAGAACCGAACTTAACACCGCAATTAATAAACTGCAGCGTTTTCAAAGACTAGCATGCTCTGCTATAACAGGCTGCATGAAATCCACACCCACAAACGCCCTAGAAATAGCGCTTGACCTCCCGCCACTCGACCTGTTTATACAACAGGAAGCAACTATGGCAGCGCTAAGAATGTATCATCTGGGCTTGTGGACGGAAAACCAGGGACCTCACTCCAAAATTCTGGAAAGGGCTATACAATACCAACCTATGGTAACAGCCCACTGTGATAAAATCCCGACTACTCATACATTTGATAGAAGATATCAAATAGAACTACTAGAAACCAACAAGGACTGGTCGGGCACAGACGAACTACGCATTTACACTGATGGATCCAAAATACCAGGATTCGGATCAGGCGCAGGAGTCTTCTCACTGGATCTTAACATCCATATATTAACAGCACTGGGTAATCACAGCTCAATATTCCAATGTGAATGTATAGCCATTACTCAGGCCGCCACCGCTGTCATTAATAGGAAAGTCAAAAACTACAAGATACGTATATTATCTGATAGTATAGCTGTCCTTAGAGCCCTCGATAGTAACAGCAAAACTTCTGGGCTAGTATACGAATGTCACCTAGCATTGGAGTACATAGCAACGGATAACAAGGTTATCCTCCAATGGATCAAGGGACATAGCGGTTCTGTGGGTAATGACGCAGCCGACGAACTGGCTAGAAGGGGATCATCACAGAGAGTTGAAGGCCCTGAGCCACATCTGCCATTACCTTTCAATCAGTTTCGTACATGGGTGCGGCAACGAACCACACAGAACCATAACACCCGTTGGGCGAATACCGAGGGCTGCAGGCAATCTAAGGATATTTTTCCCAACCTCAACCCCAGACTAACTAAAAAACTACTAAATCTTAACCGAAATGATCTCCGAGTAATGCTAGGCACCATAACAGGGCACTGCCCACTTAACAAGCATTTACTAACCATACGCGTTACAGATAGCTCTCTATGCAGAGGATGTCTGGAAACAGATGAAACGGCCGCTCATGTGATCCTGGAATGCACGTGCGTTGCAGAACACCGGGCATCAATCCTCAGGAAGTCGAGGACACTCCTAGAAGCCTATGAGAGCCCCAGGAGGCTACTGCGCTTCTGGAAGGAGCTGGGGTGGCTGAGCTAGCTAGCCCAACATACCCTGCACGCACAATGGACCAAGTACGGAGTCTACGTGCGGAAACGGGGGCCCACAACAAGTAACAAGTCGAGTCGTATGTTGGTGTTTTTTTATTTTTCTTTGTAAGTTACGTGATTTCTCAGTCAATAAAATTGTAAGAACAATTTTCTAATAAATTTAACATTTAGAGTTGCGATTAAGTTTTATTTTTTATTTAAGTTTTAGTTTTTATTTTATTAAATCAAAAGCTGGTTATATATCTGTTGGTCAAACCACTTTAGCGTGCAGTCTTTCGTTTCCTAGGTCAATAACATAAATTAACTTGTAAGGGTCCTTGATAAGCCCAAACACTTAATTGTTTGTAAATATATCATAGTATGTTGGGACTTGTGAAGTGTCCCTGAGTGCACTGTTAGATAGGAGAGGTAATATCAATTTAAAGAGCACCGTACTTTTCAATGGTCTATATTGCACTAATGTAATGGGCTGATTGCATGTCACTATACAATTAAATTGAATACATGGTCAGCGATACTTTAATTGCTTGATAATAAATGTATATACCTATACAAAACATGTGATTAGTCATCTTATTCTATTACAAATTATACTGTTAATTCTCTCACTGTTATTTTTAATACTATTAAGTATATCCTGAGCGCACTGGCTGACCGATGGGACTCCCCACTACTGCGACGCTGCGCGCTGGCTGAAGCTACATGCGCCCGTCTATCATTACAATTATATATAAACTAGCGGCCCGCCCTCGCTTCGCTTCGGTGTAGAGCTGAAGTGTAGACTACAGTTTTTGTTCTCAGGCTTGTATTATACACAATAACATTAATCTATGATTCTTCATATACCAGCATGCAAAGTCTCAGCCCGATCGGTTTAAAATTGACAAAGTTTCATACAAACTTTCATTCCCTATTTTATCCCCTTGGAGGTAGAATTGATCAAAATCCTTTCTTAGCGGATGCCTACGTCATAACATCTACCTGCATGCCAAATTTCAGCCCGATCCGTCCAGTGGTTTGGGCTGTGCGTTGATAGATCACTATGTCAGTCAGTCACCTTTGAGTTTTATATATATAGATAACAGACGAGTCACATCGGAATTCAAATGTAGTATATTGATAATAAAATTATTTGTTGTATTTGATTTTCGATTTGTCGTTTTTCATTTACTAACACTAGAATGAGATAACGTCTATTACTAACACTTGTATATAGATTTAAAGTCTGGAATTAATGTTTATTGTTATTATAATACCTTCGATATATATTGTAATAATCCTATAAACTAACTAGTGCGTCTTTCTTCCCAGTTTGATCTCAGTTTCTCAAGCTCAATGCTATGAAGGTCAAGGTTTTCAACCGAAAAAAGGATCCGTCAAACAGTTTTTATACAACTACTACAAACAAAAAAATCCTAAGCCTCTGAAAAAACCCAAGCACAATAATTTTCCTCCTACATTTGGTTTGGTCGGAACCCTCTCTCAATGTCTCCTCTCAAAGACAGAGGTGGCCTGCGGCCGCGGCCATCCCTTATTGGTCACTCGTGCTTGAACATGGTTTGACCACTCGCTTACATTGCGAATACAAATTGCCGCCGCCAATCCGGCCGCTACTCTAGGCCGCGTCTGTCTATGAGACACTTTAACAGTGATTTGCGGACAACAATATACACACTATGGCCGTACGTCCATGATACACTCACTAAAAACACAATTAGGTACTGAGCTATTTACCTGCACTTTTTTGTAAGGTAGATGTTAAGAATTCTTTTGTAAATACCCTATTGTAATTATTTAAAATAATTATTGTAAATATTCTCTTTTGTACATATTTATTGTTTTCTAATCTTTTTGGTTTTAATGTTACAAGTAATATTTTTTGTTATGTCAAATAATTTTTTTTTACTTCTTTTTTTCACATTATATATGTCAGCACTGGATTGAGCACTACTTATGTTTTCTCTCGTTTTAAGTTATCGTAATTTCCATCACAATAGAGGAAAATAATATGTTTGTACGTTTATATTATTATTTTAATTCTTACCGATTTCTCTTCTCTTTCGATGTACTCTTGAAGCTCTGGCACTGTGTGTAGAACGGCGCGCTCGCAATGCCTCTTTTCTTTTAACCCAATGGCTCTCTGCTGAGGCTGTAAAAAAGATTAACATTTATGTAATCAAGTAACTAAAGCACAATAGGGGTGATGACGGGGTACAGTAAACGAAATTCTATTTAGTCCGTCAGTTATAAGGTGAAAAAATAATGGACACGTATTTTTTCTTTGGGCAATCAACCAAAAAATGACAAAGTTATAGCGCGTCAAAGTTTGGGAGTAGGGGCTCGTGACGTCATTTAAAGTGAAAATTGTACCAAAACGTTACGTTATGCGACCTTTCAGGTCAATATATCTCTGCAATGTTTATATTATGTGAAAAAAGAAAAAACACGTGTACTTTTTGATAATCTACCTGATAAAGGAAGAAAAAAAAATATTCATCATCCCTATTATTATTATTGGTACAACTTTAGGCATTTCATTAACTTTTCACCCTTTCTATTCATTATGTACAATTTGATTTAAACACTATTTCTTCCTTCTGAAAGTAAAGTTACTCTTAAGCCCACATCCCGAACGCTATACGTCCCTGCAACGTCCCTGCAATACGTCATTTTTTGAGCAACTATATTAAAAAATGCATTTATGAAGGTTGTATACATTGTTCAAAAATTCAAATTTACGGGCCATACAGCTGAGCGCGCGGTAAAATTTATTACGCACGCTTTCATACACGGCGCTGTGGGTATTCTTTACGGTCTTTTTGGTTCTTTTTTTTATTTTATCGAACCTCCTCGGAAGCGCTTTTAGTCTATACGTATGTCTGACTTTAATACTAAAAAGAAAAAGAGACGAAATATCTAGTTCTTATTTTCACCACACGCGTGTTGCACCATTTGGAAAAGCGCACTATTTTCTTATTAATAACAATTTACTTCATTACTTAAATTAAGTATAATGTTTTCTTATTTGTTTCTTAGGTTTTCACACGCATCACTCATTAAATGAAAGGATTTTTACTAGTTATATGCACTGTATTTATTTATTTCAAATAACAAAGACTCATATTATAAATAAGTAATACATTAATTAACTATTTAATATTATTGATTTATTAAATTAAAATTATTTCTGAACAGTCACTAATAATCAAAATTGAATTGCTACATTTAAATACATATGTCAATAAAATTAAATAAAACTTATAAAACTAACAGCCTTTTCAGGACTACGTCTTCAGAACAAAAAAAACCGAAGACGCAGTCCTGAAAAAGCTGCGGAACATCAGATAAATAAATACAGTGCATATAACCCGTAAAAATCGTTTCATATAATGTTTTCTTGCAAATGTGTTTGAAAACGTATGATATTCGTGTGGATGGACAAACTTGTGACTATGGTAAGCCTTCGACTTCGTCTCTGGCTGACATTCGTGTACTCGTTTGTAATAACCAACTTACCGCACTAATATCATAAATAACTATTACATTTATTATAATAGTTTCTTGACATGAATTATAGGTCTTGTCAACGAATATTTTAACAGTAAGAGGAATTAGCTAGGTCTCCAAAAGGTTGTCGGAACTTGTAAGTTCTTCAGTAAGTAGTTACCCTAACTAAAGTAAAGACGGCCGCGTGAACTTAACCACTAAGTAACCGTCGACACATCAGCATAAGCTTTATTGTGGTCGCCTTGGCTAGATTTGGGTACGATAAGAAAACAAAGCTTTTGAGATTAAGTTGGAAGAGACGGTTAATTTATAATAAGTGTCGTACTATTTAACTAATATAGGGAACTATGAGTAATCCAAACTAAAAAAGTAATAATAAGAATAAATTTCCAACTTACTCAATTATTTAGTTCATATCATATCTTCGAATCAATGCTACAAGTAGTTGAAGTCCGTTGAAAAAATTTAGATGATTTTAGGTATTGATATATAAAAGGCCCAAGAAAAGGATATTCTAGGCTACTTTTTGTCGTGAAAATAAAATTTTGAGGGGGTTAAATAAGGGATTAAAATTCATACGCGACATCTATTATTCTAAGGGCCTGTTTCACAATTAAAGTAACAAGTAAAGTTCTCAATAAGCTACTTAGAACTTATCAGCTCAGTTAACAAATAGGGATGTTGAGTTTGACGTTGACAGGGAACTTTTGCTTGCTATTTAATAGCTTTTCGCTTTTCCACAAAAATCCAACGTTCTTTACAGAGCAGATAAGCTCACTTAGAATTATACCCAGCGATTGTGAAACAGGCCCTAAGTAGAAGCAGTCCTTATCACCCACCATTAAGTATATTAGCAATTACAAACCTAAACATATTGAATCGTCAAAACTCATCTAAAATTACGGTGACCTATTGATTTTCAAGTCCGGCTTTTGTGCCGTTAGTATTATCGATGTAATTAGTACCGAAAGCTGTTGTCCAATACTAACCTAAACCAATATTGATATTTAATGACGTAATGAGCGCAATTGAACATAATTAGAAGTGTTAGTATCCCTTCAAATCAGGCTCAGGTATATATATATTTCTTTATAGTTTTCTGGAAGGTGTAGTAGCTGATTATGAAATTTTACTGTTCTGCGTGGTTTCATTATTTTAAAGTAGGTGACTTAATTATATAAGCTGTCACATTGCTAAAGTCTCTTTCTATTGAAATTTCAAAAAGATTCAATTTAAAAAAATCCTTATTCAAATTGGTCGCACAATTCACAACTCTTTTGAATCGTCCATATTTTTTTCCCTACCTTCAGTTAAAGACATTTTTATTGCTGTGGAGAAAAACTGGCGTAAGAAACTTCAGAGCGTTAAATAATTATGTAACAATATTTACAAAATATGATATTTTTCTTCATATTAACGCGGATGTAACCGCAGGGGACCTCTAGTACACTACTCTACTTAAGGTATCGCGGACTTTTTACCCGGCTGCGCAATGCAAGAGCGCGAAGCGCGACGCGCAGACAGGGTTATGTGTTTAACAGTCTATATATGTATGTTTGTTCCTTTGTGGCACACTAGAGACCAAACGCCTGGACCGATTTTGATGATTCATACATCAATCGATTCGTCTCAATCATGGGAGTGCTACTAAAGATATAATAGTAATCAAAATTCAATATGAGCAAAATTAGGCGCCATATTGTGACGAAATAAAAAAAATAAGTTGACAAAATATGTCGAGTGGGGTATCACTGTCTAGATAATCAAAAATCATATTTAGGTTCCTAACACCATTTTTCATTTTATGTGATTGTTTAGGATCTACAACGCTTTAAAGTTGTATATTAACCACTTACGCTTTTAATTTCAATCTTACGTTTTTATAAGGATCTTTGTTACTCTTTCACTTAAAAAATACTGAATGGATTTTAATGAAACTTAACAGTAATATAGATCATATATGATAATTACATATATATAATAATTTATGTAGTTATCGAGTGAATTGGCCAATATATAACAATAAGTGTCACATAAGACGGAAAAACATCTCCCATCTGCGAGCCATTTTGGCCTGCACTGCAATAACAATAAAAGTTATATAAATGTATTGTATAGTGAAAATGTATCTCTTAAATAGTTCTAAAAAAAAGTCCGTGACACCATATATCTATTTTTAATATGTGAGTCATTACCGCTAAAATAGTGAATCAAAACTAAAACATTATTTGATATCTATTTCCAAAATGCACATTTTGATTAACAAATCATTTTTTATCCAAACAAATACTTTTATCGCTTTTGATATTTAAAGGCGATAAACTTTGCTTTTTACACTATGTCATTTCGACAAATATTTAAAAAGTTACAACGATGACAAAGTGATAGCGCGGTGTACAAATTAAAAAAAAACGGGGTATTCGCAGTATCTGCTCCTATACGAAGTACTAACAATAAAACTGTGATATAGTTCCTTCTTATTATTGAATTTAAATGAAAAACTCAGAATTTTACTGTTTTTCATTTTTTTTAACGATATTACTTAATGTTACAAAAAAGGTTTACTTTAATATAATAACAAATAACCCATTTTTCACTAGTAAGTACATACTTATTGGAATACCTGTATTTATTAATCAGCTCGCGATAATATTGGTTTTGTAATAATTCTGCAAAATTCAAAGTAAATAATGTAGATTTTTACAGGTAAATCACCCCTTTCATCACCCTACGCCTATAAGTATTGCGATGTTGTAGCTAAGAACCAAGTTCCCATCTACTTCTATATGGGAATTCATTATATTCGATTTAGCTATTAGGGCACGGAAGCGCAACAAACAAACTCACTTTCGCATCTGTAATATTATATTATACTTACTAGTGATCCACCCGGGCATTGTACGGGCGAAATTTATTTATCGGGATAAAATATAGCCTATGTCACTCCGACAAAATGTATTTAAATAAAGAAAAATGTTATATTAAATAATGTAGCTACCTTATGATGAATTAATATTTGAAACCGGTTCAATAGTTTGACAGATTATTTGTTACAAACATACAAATCTTGCCTCTTTATAATATTAGTATAGATAGTTAGGATAAGATAAGTATTTAATTGATGAAAAAGATTTAATAATAAACTAAGTAATAGGTTTATTTGATTATATTTGTGAAAGTTACTTAGCATTTGTGCTTAACAGTGATACGTTATTCGGTATTTTTTTAAACAAAAAAAAATTGGAAAATAAATGCCATGAATGCACTACTGGGAGTACTCTTCATTCGAGCTTTACACTACCAATAAAAAAGGGTCGAACACAGTCTTTGACCTGTTAAATGTGAACGCTTTAAAAGAAAACTACAAAGAGAACTATAAATTGATAATAAATGAGAATGCTATGGTGCTCTAGCTAACGTTATGAAAATTTAACTATGCGCTTTTAGTTTAAATCAAATATTATAAACTTTGCTTTGGTGATTGCATAATTATTTAATTTAGTGATCTAAGGCAGTTGCCACCATTGTCCAAAACAACAGACGGGAATTACTGCTTTCTTCAACCTGCGACATAAACGTCATTGATTGGTATTGTATATAGGGTGATTAAAAACATTTGAAGTTAACTTCTGGCATCTACATATAAGGTTTCTGTGAATTA